GTTTCCGCTTGAACATTTGACTGACAGTACTACCACAAAGCAAAACGAATGTTTTTCATTCTTTACAGCAGGTAAAAAACAACTTCAAAATTTTGCGGATTATATCCTCTATGCGCATGACGCTAAGTGGCTACAGGTGTGACTAAAGAGTTGGCGTTTAATAACGTTTAATTTACAATTTTATTCAAAATGTTTTCAATCGTGAGAAATTTCGGCGTCCCACGAACGACAAATACCTTTTTGGGACTATTATCAAACACCTAGGCGCTTTAGTGTTTTAGGCAGAAAGGAATTTTTGATTCCTTTCACTAATGTGCTTCGATCATTAACAGTTTTGTGAATTTTGTCCCTCTTTGTGCGGGTAGTTAATATAGCACAGTTCGCCTTTTTCAAAGTACGCACATATTTTTAGTTTTCGGCTTGTGCAAAGAAGCCTGACATATCTTTTAACCATGTCATACTACTTTTATGTATACGGGTTGGAATTATATTTCTTTGATTTGGAATCTTCTGCCATTCAAAATATTGAAGCAGCGGATTGTTTTTAAGAGCTATTATTGAGCGCGTCTTCTGAATCGGTTTCAGCTATTACTGTCAAAGCTGACCCTGACGAAGGTTCTTCTTGTTCTGATAACATAACAATCGTTTAGGATTGGGTCACGGTTAGTTTTCGTCTATTTTATTGATCGGCTTACTTCTCGCAGTAACTACCTGGAGGTAGATTCCGCCTGGAGTGGTTTGCGCAGGATCTGCCCAAATAGTCAATTGGCTATCGGTTTAAACAGACCAGTATACGCAAGGTAGTCTCCAATATCTGAAATACTCGTACAGAGTTAGACGGGGGCTAGTATACTGCTATCAGCGATACAAAAACTTCAACACTGAGGTTTTCTTCCAAGTCAGAGGAAGGCATGGCGTTATGCCTTCCTCCCAATAACAATTTTCAGAGTAAATCTAGAACAAATCTTCTAGTTCACTCTATTGCAATAATCAACTCTACCTGGGCCTACCAACCGGTTGTGACTTCCGTCAGTCTTCGTGCGGAATAGTGCCCAGCGATGCATGCAAACTGCAAATGAATACACCTCACAGGCAATTGCTATCGGGGTCTCATGTCAGAACACGCATATGTTTCTGCGTGGGTTGTTGCCAGATTTCGCGATGCAGTCCAGATTTATAACTCCCGAAGTGTTTAACTTCTCTTACATTTTCTGCTGAAGAAGCTCCAGTTAAAGCAGTAGCTCACGAATTGAGGCTACGTAAATACGTAAATATTTGGGAATGTTCAGGTTTGCTAAATGTCTACTCATCTGATTTCATCTGTTCCGTGCCTAAGTTACTTCCCACCTTATTTAAATATTTCTTTTTTTCTTAAATTTTCAACTGAGGAGCAATCACTTCAACTGAATGTTTAATATTACGTATGAAGTTTTTGGGGTACACTTTAGGTCATTGCACACAACCGGTAAATCTAACAAACTGCCATATAACAACCGTTTCCTATGCATTTTCACTTATTTTCTCTAGTTATTGCCGAAATTCTGGCATAGCAAAGCTTTCAGCTTCATGGGTTGCTGATGTACGGTATTTGTGCTGTCTTCGTTTTTTTCTCTGTAGTTTTATACAGGTTCTTTTCGGTAAATCTGGATTAGATTGCGAAAACGTGTTAACATTTTCTTTTGGTTTATGTCACCATGCGGTGTTCTCTGCTGTTTTTCATTTAGTCCTACATTTCGGCCTGTCTCACATTTCATAGTATTCCAACCAGTGCTTTTTTACGGAGCTCATGTTTCGCACGACTTCTTTCCAACCCAATAAGTTCTCTAAATGCACCACTGCGGATCATAACACTACTCATTTGTAACGGTGTATTTCCTTTGTACGCACTCTTCGAACGAGGTCTTAAACACCTGAGGACATATTGTTTCTGATCTGCGTACTTACCTCAGTCTCCACTTCCACTAACGGCTTGTCCCTTAAATACTGCCCGCTTCATCAAGAGTACCTCATCCTCTTCTCCTGTCTATTTAAATTCTGTCGGAATTCCCAAACCTAGAAAATGTCTGCTGCTGCTCAAGGCTGTATGAATAGGTTGTATCAACGGACGGAATTTTCATCGGATTTTCTTTTTACTTTTATAAATAACAAAGGTTTTAATCGAGCGTTTTGCACCTGAACCTCAGTCTGAAAATGTTTCATTCCCATGTGGTGTGTGCTTTTACTCAATGTGCATATATGGGTTTCTGATTAATTTCTTGAAATTGTACAAGCGCAGAGGCCAGATGCTTGCACTCTTAATGACTCATTAAACGAGTCGGTAAATTTACCCCCTTTAACCGTCGACTCATTAGATTACTGGTACTGGTGTTCCGTCTAGTTGCGTTTGTGAAACTCAGTCATTGTATGGTAGGGCACGTAAAAAACTTATGCGGCAATGGCTATTTTTTTCATTTTCTTTGTCCTCCTTTAAGGAATTTTATATTGCCCATATTTTGCTTCCTCTGTAGGCAATGAATTCTGTATAAGGCAGTTGCCATCGGAGCAGACCGTTGGACGTTTTCGACGGCCACCAGCCCTCTTAAAGTTGTTCCACGCGTACCCCTCAGTATGCGCGTCCTGCACTGCCTTCTTACGGTTCTAACCTGGTGCCTAGGCACGGGGGCTATGGAGTGTTTAAAGATGCTTTGTCATCAGACCAACACTTCTGATTGTCATCCCTGTGTGGGCCTGAACTCAGAGCAGTTATCTCGATGGCATCGTTACCTTGATGCAATTCTGAGTGACTGGAGAGATACCTCACACATGCCCTCCTACTACGAAGAAATCCGTAACCAACCGCTATGCTGTACCCTCGGGGAAAATGACACATGTCATCTCAGCCTTATCTACGAGCCGAAAGTTGATCCTACGCGGCTATATGATCTTAAGTAAGTTGCCATTCCCCTGACTCATCCTCTTTTAGATGCATGGAGGGCGATGATATGTGGACCCAGTTTCGATGTACCTCCGGTCACAACACCCGGTGTTGTAGAGGGAATTTCTGCAATCTACCAACGGATAAGGAGGTCGATACAGTAACTCGGGAAACACCCCAGCGGTTGCACTTGATTGTGGTTGGTGTCATTTTGGCTCTATTCCTACTGTTACTTCTCGTTGGAATTCTACTATTCTCTCGCTACAAACGTGAGTCTGGTGAGTTTAAAACCTTATCTCACAGCCTTTGGTATTAACTTCATCCGCAGCCATTTAGTAAGATATGCTGGTTTGAGTAGAAATATTTGCCTTGTCTGGGAAATTTTCCCCTGCCCGATATAAATGTCTAGCTGTTTTTTTTTCAGTGAAACACCCATTGGGCTCCCTGCTCTTCTGTTATATTCTGTCGCCTGAGTCCCTTTTCAAGGCCATCCATAAGGTCCGATCGCTGTTTCTTAAACTGTGCCCCACTACGACTTTCTAGATTTTGCCTGATTAAGTTTCTATTAGTGCATTCGTTGCACCTGTTTCACCAGTTTGATGCCAATGCGAACCCAGTATAACACGCACAGTCTCCTCGTGCATCAAGGGTTACGGAAAGGGGCTGCCTCGGTGAAACTTTGCGACATCAATTTTTGAAGTCCAGTTTTAAAGTGTGTGCAGCGGATATTGTTTAAATCCAGTTTCCGATCTTCGGCGCCCTCGGTTTCATAATTTCGGAGATTGCGTTCTCCTCTCAAAATCAACCTTCCTTGGTCTAAAGATACACTCTCAGTTGGATTAGAAAGCCCCATTGATGGAATTTTACTGTAGTAAGCCGGTTCCCCACTACCTTCCTCTAACAGTACCTCTTGCATGAAGTGTAGTGATTAAGTCAGGATTTTCCCTAGGCGTGCTTTTCTCGATTACCACCAATGCTGATTTGGCCAGTTTCAGAGTTCATCTGATAAATTGTGCATGTTCCCGGGCAACCTTAACCCTGTGTGGTACTGTTGTTCCTTGTTACTTTTTCGTACGTGGCCCATTTGCCAGATTGGAACACAGCCACATGTGAAGATATTAAGGAGCGTGGTCCGCATCTGATTATTTATCACACGTAAATGTGCTTTTTCGCAGCAAACTTTCGATGGAGGCTGTTTGACCATTCGCCACACGTGGATGCAATGGGTAGCCCGCATCGGGGGGTGTCTTGCGTCCTGATTTGCGCACACTGACAATGCCCGCAATTTAGATTCTTCGATAATTTTAATTTTCGAAACCTCAGGCTCTTTATCGCAACGCATTGCGGTACATAGTTATCAGCACATAATACAAGTTACCACAGTTTAGAATCCTTACGTACACACAAAGAATCGGTGCTAAAACTTAACTGACGGCGTTTTTGCAAAATAAAGGAATTGATATTTCCAGTATAGAGACGAATACTTTCGAAGATCCTACATAACCCTATGTCCTGTTATTTCCTAGTTCTTTTTAGTGGTTTAACGTAAAGGCCCCGTCCTTCAAGCTTTAGCACAATACCTAACGTGGCAATTAATAGAATGAACTTTATGCACTCCAAGAAAGGTATTCAAACGTAACTTGTGCGATTTGGCCGCGTTCTCCTCGTAAGTATTCCATGTTACTTTGCGCAATTTCAGCGAAATAGCCATTTCGAGTTTACATTTACACGCCAGACAATATTTAGTGTGAATAAGATAAACTTGGCTTCTTGGTACTCCAAGTGGTGAAGGTCTGTCTTTGACGGGGTAAAATCGTCGACTGGTGGAAATTCCTTCCTTCTATCATGCACATCTCTCGGAGGCCCTATAGTTTTCCTGTAAACTTATATTTGGCCAAATGGGCTCTGTCCATCAATTTCCTTCTTCGTAAAATGCTTGTGCTGATGCTCCCTCAACTATTCTAAGGTTTAGCAAGAGGCTTATAAAAAGAATTTTTCAGACAGGTACTCCAGTGCTTTCACAAACTCGGTAGCACTTAAATTTCCACTGGTGGCAAAGCCATCAACCAATTTTCTCATTGCCAATCAAGTCTAGGCTTCTGACGCTTTAGTGCAGTCGCTGCTTCTGCTCTCTGTCCAAACCTCGTATAGGACTAATCTTGCCCGAAAGTGGCCTTGACCGGCTAGTACACAAACTTATACAGGACTTGAAAATCTGTCGATATACGTACGTGCGTATTGGTTCTTGGGTTGTAATTACACTTGTCCCATTTATTACTACAGTCCCTAACGTCCATTTAGCTTGTCTTCTTGGGCGCGCAAACGCATTTTGTTGTGCTTACGGTTTGGCATCTCAAGTTGTGCGTTTCCCTGTGGCCTTTGCCAAAGCGTTTTTTTCAACCTTTTTACCTTTGACGAA